TGTAAATTGATGAAAATATTGTAAATTGTTATGGGTTGTAAGAGCACCAAGGAATTGTTGGTCCTTGTGTGCCACCCTTATCTATTAGGTAACCTTGATGCTTTAAAATACACTTTTGATAAAGTGAAATAGGTTAAATAAACAAATGAGGTGCCGTCAAAATTTATACTAAAATAGAAATTTTTAAGTTGACTTTGGGAGAGCATATATCCCTCTACAGAGGTCCAATAGGGACATGTCATACATCATTTTGAAGCTTGAGATGTCAACTATATTGTATTAAAATTTGGTAGTATTTGAAGCTGTGTAACGACCTGTAGGTGCGTTAGAGTGGAGACTGCCCAAAGGGCCCTGCACAGGGGCTGTTCGGGTTGCTGGGTTCCAAAAATTGTTTCTTCCTCAATTCTTACTCAAATTAGGCTCATATATGTCAAATTAAAGCTTAAGGTGTCTAGTATGCTGTATAAAAATTTGAGAGTAATTGGTTGAGTGGTTTGTTCAGAATCGCAAAAATGGTGAGGTAATGTTGGTGCCCTGTTTGGGGTTGGCTGGAAGCTTTGCTTGTCCAACTTCAAACGGTGATAACCGGAGCTAGAGAGAACTTTATGAGGCATTTGATACCTTGTTGAAAATTTAATTGAGTCTAGAATAACATAATAAAAGATGAGGGGTTCATAACATGGATATTTCGTACAGTGTCCAATAGACTGAAGCATGTTCAGTTATAGAAAAATCGTAAAAGTGTGATTTATGCTAAGTGGGTTTATGAAAACCCCTTAGTGGCTTAAAATAAGTAATGTATGATAGTTAGGCATTTATTTATTTATTCCATATTTAGATTTTAGTTATGATCATAGCTTGTGTCATTACGTTTTATTATTGTTTTTAAAGCGCTTACGTAAGGAAAATGAAAAGGTTTACTAGCATTTTTAAATGAACTGTTGTGATTGTAATTGCGCTTAATATCATAATCAATGTTAACAATATCAGTGTACAACGGGTTGTTACAGGAGAGATCCTATAGGTGATAGATTGAGCGTGATCAAAGATTTATCATAAATCTTGTAAAAATTCCTTGTAAAATGATTTTCTGGCATCGGTTGGAAGCTAGAACATAGTGGAATTTTTGTCCTCAGTCTGGATATAGCTCTTAAGTGGTTAGAGAGTGAACCAAGATAAATCTTGGTGTGATTATTCTTTTCCCTTCATCTCTTTGTTACCACTGCATTATCTATTATTGGATGAAATTTGGTATGTTTTAAATCTATTTTTTTATTGATGAAGGTTTGTTTTCTGTTTAATTTCATTTTTGGTTGAATTCTTGACAAAGGGGTTTGTTTTACATTGATTTTCATTGATTCTTATGGAAGAATTTACAATATAATTCACCCCCTTCTTGTGTTTCTGTTTTGCCATTCTTTTCTTTGTAAAGAATGTGTTTAAAATAACACATTAATGTGTTATGTGATTTTACCACAATTGATAATACACTCATCTCCTTATTTGGGGACGATGCAATTTGCATTATACATATGTATGATGGATATCTCAAGAGTGGTAACACTACTTATTTCACCCAAATTCTTTTACACATATGAACTACGAGAGAGAGAGAGATGAAATTGATATCCAACAAGTTCTCTCTAGTGACAATATTCACTAAATCCCTCTCTTACTTCCAAATTTGGGAAATTGGAATAGGAAATAGGAATGTTAAACTTATAGATTACTTTCATCAGGAGGAGCGAATTAATTATGACTGTCCCTGAATGATGAAGCCCTGAAGATTTATTACTAACTCTTTTTCTCTTTGCCAAGTTTTTTTCCCAAAGGAATTTTTCTAGGCCAGAGGTTTTTAATGAGGCAGTTTATGCAATACTTTGGAAGCGTATGTAATGTACTCCTTTTCATTTGCTAGTTTTCCCTTTTTGGATTTTATAGCAAGGTTTTAACGAGGCATGGGGTTAGCGTAATGATGTCCAAAGGAAACTGTTGTAAATTTACATTAGCGATCTAATTGGATGAACATTACTACAGTTGATTAATGATAGAAAATTATGAGATACCATTATAGAAAATTATAACTATTGCTTCATTTCCTCAGCTCCAGCAGTAGCTATATAACTCAATTGAGAGAGAGTTATATGCACTACACTCCTTTTTTCCTTTATCAAGCTTTTATCGTACTGGGTTTTTCTTGGAAAGTTTTTTAATGATACGCACAATATTAACATATAAAATATAGTATTTTAACTATAAATGTTGTACTCTTTTTCTTTAACTTAAGTTTTTATATGTCATTGGATTTTTTTAGCAAGGTTTTAACAATGCATATCCATAGTGCATGTTTAGTCATCCAAGGGTGAGTGTTATGAAATTTTAATTTATAGATGACTTGAATTTTGAATTATGTTACCATTGGCACTAATAGTGCAATTATCCCTCATTTATATTTTTGTAACCACCACACTAACGGAGTATCAACTCCCTATTCATGGTTCTATTCCTATATATACATGATGCTTATATTAGAAAATGGTTGCTGAATAAGAATTAGAATTCTAGCCTATTTCTCTTTGTCTTTTCCCTGCTTTCTCTCTTCGTCTTCTTTTCCTTCCTTTTATTTCATAACAGGCAATTATATTTTAATTTTTGTTGTTGTATAAAAGTAAAAGATTACAATTATTGATTGAGATCAATTTACATTGGTGTAAGATTTAATATTCGTACATAACCTAATAAATTTATATAAAAGGTGATTTTTATTGATCTAACTATTTATTATTATTCATTATCTTAGGTTGATTAACCAATTTGGTTCAAAAATAAAATTTCCACTATATGAGATTGGAATGATATATGGCATCGACAAGGAGAAGTGTTATTGTGGCTAGTACCTCTGTCTTGAAAGACAATAAGACAAGTTGCACAAGGCAACAATAGGTGAGATGCACTAGATATCTAGAAAATAAGACATGTGGTATGTCACAACAACATTGAACATTCACCTCTATTAATTCATAGACTCAATTAATAAAAAATTATTAATTAACATCAATTGAAAGGCTCAATCCAAACATTGAAGCATTCAATTCCCAAATAATAAATCAGTCATTCAAATCATTTTCCAAAATCATTAATTGATATCATTTCCTAAATTTTAATTAGAATTTTTCCCAAAATTGATAATTAATTTTGCTTCACCCTAAGAATTGAATCAAACGAAAAATGATGAAAAATGTTGAAAGTAAAATGAAACTCTATACGTTGCATCAATGACAAAGTACGCAAACAACCACAAAGTAAAGCAAGGAGAAGAAAACATGAATGACATGACAATTAGCGAACCATGTGCTTACTATAATGATATGTGACAAAGAATAATGACAATGACAGAGACAGAGGATACGTCATAGATGGGAAGGATAGAGAATGCCAGAGTATGTATTACATTAATCTTGTTATATATCGAGGGATTATTAAATAATTTTATAACTATAAACTTTATAAACATAATGTGTACAATAAGAATTATATTCTATAGATTTATGATAAAATTATTCAATAAAAATTATTTATAGTATAAAAATGATTTTAACTATGTATTATATCCTCCAACAACTTTACCATTACAAAATTTTGTAAGATACTTTCTAGCCGTAAATATATCATAAAGTAATTTTTTTTAATGAATAATTAAAGTTAGCACTTAGGATATTATCATTATTTTGAAGAGAGGTGATATCATTTCAATCCTAAATAAGTACAATGAAAAATATTAGTTGCACATTTACATGAAATTCTATCTTCAAAATGGAAAATGAACAAAAAATTTGGCTTGCTGAAACAAAACGATACCATTAAAGTTCTAATTTGGTTTACGGAAATCTAAATTTTGTTCATGATATAAGTCCACATGCACTATTTACAACATATGAAAGGATGTTGTTATATGCTCTGACACCATACAACGTTCAAATGAACGACATAAATCCCAAACTCTATCTCTAAAACTACACCTTGTTCTTTTGCCAACGAGGGGGGGGGGGGGGGGGGGCATGATTAGTGTGCTTTGATGACCTTTGCTAGCTAACTTAACCTCTTAACTCCAAACCTAAAATATCTCACCTCCTACAAGCACACTTTCATGCCATTCTACCTTATATACATTAACACTATTCTTTAACCTTTTACATTCTAACACATAACATTTAGTACATACTGTGATAGGAAGCTATATTTATTAAATATTAGGCATGTTATTCCAGAAAGTTTCAAGAGTCCAATCCAATTCTTGATCAGTTGGGGCAGTTGAAAAAGCATCTTGTTGAGTTTCAAGTCCCATTGATTGTGACTCTCCATTACAATACCAACCAGGCACTGGCGTTTTCGAGGAAAAGTTGTTAAAAAGGCTAAATAAGTCATCATCCATTGAATTCATCCCCTCTAATGTACCTTCTGTAATTGATTTTTTCCCTGTGCATATACATATAGTTTCACGTAACCTTAGTGAAAAGCCATACAAGAATGCAAAATAATAATAATGATACACAAAAGTAACAAAGTTGATTAATAGTAAAGAAGAAAGAGTTTCACCGGTTGAAAGTTGAGAAGAGTTCAAATCAACTGTTTGTGGATTATTTGTATATTTTGCACTATTTTTCAGTGTTGGCTCCATATGCACCGTGTCATCCTCCTCAATCGCGATGTTTTTCCTCTTATAAGATAACTTCCCTGTTATGGTTGAATCCTCATTGTTGGACTTGTCTTTAGGAAGAGAACTTTGAGCATCCACCACTAGAGAATCCAACATGCCACTATTTTCCTTAGGTGGTGATGATGCAACTTCATAGCAGGCACTAGCCTTGCTTGAATCTCCCATGAAGCTAGGAACACCACTCGCATATGATGAAACAGGGGTGGTAAAGCCAAGTGATGATGGTGCAACTTCATAGTAGGTATTAGCCATGCTTGAAGCTCCCATCAAGCCATAAACACCACTAAAATATGATGAAATTGGGGTGGGTAGAGCCAGGTGGTGATAAGCTCGAAGAAAACTTTGTATTCAAGCCTTGAACAAGAGCAAGGGATTCATATGGAGATCCTCCAAGGTCAGCATTGGAATCTAAACCATGATTGTAGCTCCCAGATTGATAATCATATGATTCATTTGCCGCAAAACACTGGTTGAACCAAGGATACCCATATTGAGAAATAAGGGATAATGGAAAACTCGCATTACTAGTGGATCCACTATTCACTTTAGGAAAGTTAAATTGAGGATATGAATTAGGATCCTTTTGTTGAGGATTTGCAGTAAAAAATTGACTTAGATTATTGAGTTCTTGACTACAAGAGGAAGATATGAATGAAGAAAATGATAACTGTGGTGAATATTGAGGTTGTGTGAATTGTAGTTGCTCTTGTGGTTGATGTTGGACTATTTCGAGAGGATAAATAGGCAACCCTTCTTTGAGGCACTTTTTCAATCTGGTATTCCAGAAGTTTTTAATTTCATTATCTGTTCTCCCTGGTAATTGAAAGCATAAACCATAGAGACATAACGAGTTAGAGATAAAATAGAAAAAGCATACAATGAATAAATGAGATATAAATGAAAGAAAAAAAATAAAAAGAGAAAGATAATATAAGAAGCTTGATGAGATTGATACTAATTAAGGAAACAAAAAAAGGGGTCTCATACAGACAAAAAAAAGTCTTGAGGTCAGCTAAAAAGTTATTATCAGGAGAAAAAAGGAAAGTAAATAATTTAACTAGAATTAAAATTGAAAAATAAACTCATTGAAGTTCAAAAGCAATCCTAGCAATGGTAGAGGCAAATCTGGAAAAAAAAAATTATTAAAAAAAAACCAGAGGCATGAAACATGTAAAAAATCTATGATCATTTTCAGAACCTAAATGATTAATTCTCCTTGAACAAACACCATGAACAAAATAAACCACAAAAACATGAATAAAAACCATGCAGATAAAATTGATATATTAAACACCATGAAGTACCTGCACGGCCATTCGAGCCCATTTGTTTCCTAGCTGAGCATGAAGCTGGATGACCAATTGTTCTTCCTCTTTAGAAAATGCACCTTTCTTCAGATAAGGCCTTAAATGATTTGCCCATCTCAATCTACAACTTTTGCCACACCTTGCCAACCCAGATCTCTTATACACGGAGTTCCACATCCCTTCACCATACGTTGACACATAATCTCTCAATGTAGTATCTTCTTGTGGCGTCCATGGCCCTTTGTTCATTGTCTCTTTGTCATCATCACCCCCTTCTTTTGATATAGCTTCATTTTCATAGCTTTTATTGAAGTGGATCATTCTTGGCATTGTTGATTGCTAGATAGCAACAACTAGAGCAAAAAGGGTAATTTTTTTTGGATGAAAAAAGTAACAAAAAATGTTAGCTTTTTTCTCAAGTTTAGGGTGGATGCATGTACTTACAGTGTTTGTGATGCGAGAATGTGATTAGAGATAAGTTGGTGGTGTTATTGAAGACAGTGGGTGATATTATATCACTAAAAGCGTTGAACCCATGTATAGAAGCAGAGGAGGAAGATGATCAGAATTATCACTGTGCAATTATAAATATTAGATTTATTATCACTGTGCAATTATAAATATTAGATTAAAGAACAGACTTACTTGTCAGTGGCAGAATGATGAAACAGACAGAATGAAAGGATGAATATATGCAGTATCAGAGGAATTAAATCCGAGCCCACAGAACGTGTCTCCTTAAGACAATTTGCCCCCTCACTGATGCCTAAGGTTGATGGACACTTGTCTCCCAGGATAGAACGAATTTCGTCTGAAGAATGGTGGCACTACTAATCAACAGCCCAAACGAACACAACAATATGCCAGAGGAAGTCACACCGGAGGATGAACAACAGTATGCAAAACCGGAAGAAGAAAAATTCCGGCAGAGTTTAAGTGCAGAAAAAACTGGATAGATTTCTGAAGGTGTCAGTGTCTATTTATAGACACTGACCGGTCACGATGAACAGTCGCCGGCGGCGAACCGCCGTGTCTGATGGCGGCGAACGGGTGCGACCGGTGACTGTTCCGACGAACAGATACGACCGGTGACCGGTTCAGCGAGCAGACACAACCGGTGACTGGTTCACGAAGGGAAAGAACCGGTTCGGTTCAATACTGCTCAAAAATCCGGCGGGTAGAAACGTTTTGGTTGGAGGGAAGCAACGGTAAATTTTTTTGGACAAAATATTAAAAAAATTTAATAAAAAATTATTTTTTATTACACACTATGAACTGAACTGATCCGAGCCGAGCCGAGTCGGACGGACGGAGGCGGCGGCGCGCGCGTGTGGTGAACCAATGCTCACCTAGCTCTTCCCCCTACATAAAACATGTAGTGACCCAAGGGCCAATCTAAGAGAGGGAAGTGGGAGCTTATATACTCTCCTATTTCCTACTAATTGTCCAATGTGGGACTTGTCGAAACCCACACACCTCTTCATCTTCCCTTTTTTCTCTTTTCTTTATTAACCCACTTCTTATTCATAACCAATGGATCATTGTACATTAATTCATTCATTAATTCCAACAATCCCCCACATGGATAAGAAGTCAATCATCGTGACAAAATGCATAAGAGTATAAATGCAAAGTGTAAATTCCTCAACGAGAAACAACTGCATCGAGATAGGTGGAGTTACCTTTGAACCTTCTCTAGTGAAAACCTATCGGATATACTCGGTCAATCGGTGGTCTAGGTCGACTTGAACCGTCAACCTTTAGTGTATACCTAGACAATAGGAGTCACACAATTGCTTCTCTAGCATTGTTGGTCCTTTGTTGCGCCCATTTTGGCTGTGGGACACCTGCCTGGTTCTGCGAGTGTTTTAGAGAATCGGCCTTTAAAAATTCTCATAGAAGCGGCCCTCACTTCACACTCACATAGGTGATTTCTTGTGATGTAAATCACTGTACATCATCTGAACACAACAGATTAAGAAATCATTAAAAGCCTTAATGTTTACCCTCATAAATACACTGTCTTGTCTTAGGAAAGAGTATGAGTTTAAAAACTCCACAGTGTTTGAATAGTCGACCATCACTTAGTTGTCTCTTTGAACCTAGTTCATGGGATCTCCACTCTTCTAGGTAGAGTTACCGCAATGCTCAACAATTGATAGGCCTTAAACCCATTCCTTTCGACAAATTTTCAACCAACTCTCTAGGAATCCCTTTGGTTAACGGATCCGCTATGTTTTCCTTAGACATAACATAGTCAATTGAAATGATTCCATTCGAGAGTAGTTGTCTTACGGTATCATGTCTACGACGTATGTGTCTAGACTTACCGTTATACATGACGTTCTTGGCCCTTCCAATAGCTGCTTGGCTATCACAATGTATGCATACATATGGTACCGGTCTTGGCCAATTAGGAACATCCTCAATAAAATTACGAAGCCATTCGGCTTCTTCACCGGCCTTATCTAAAGCAATAAATTCTGCTTCCATGGTTGACCTTGCAATGCAGGTTTGCTTGGACGATTTCCAAGACACAGCACCTCCACCAAGGGTGAACACATATCCACTAGTGGATCTAGTGTCATTAGAGCCGGTGATCCAATTTGCATCACAATACCCTTCTATAACCGCGGTGTATTTTTCGTAATGTAAAGCATAATTCTGAGTATACTTCAAGTATCCCAAAACAATTACCATAGCTTTCCAATGATTCTTATTTGGATTACTGGTAAAGCGACTTAACAGACTTACTGCATAAGCAGTATCAGGTCTGGTGCAGTTCATAACATACATAACGCTTCCCAACACTTGAGCATATAGCTTTTGTGCTGTAGCTTTACCAGTGTTCTTTAATAAACTCAAATTAGAATCTACAGGGTTCCTCACAGGAGTTATATTCAAACTCTTGAATTTCTCATGAACCTTAACTATATAGTGAGCCTGTGATAATGCCAACCCTGCAGATGTTCTACGGATTTTAATTCCTAGGATAACGTCTGCTATCCCCATATCTCTTGAATTTCTCAAGAACCTTAACTATATAGTGAGCCTGTGATAATGCCAACCCTGCAGATGTTCTATGGATTTTAATTCCTAGGATAACGTCTGCTATCCCCATATCTTTCAACTCAAACTTACTTTTAAGTAATTGTTTAGTAGCATTAATCATTTGATTATTACTACCCATGATCAACATGTCGTCTACATAAAGACAGACAATGGCAAAACCTTTTTCAGTATTCCGAACATAGACACATTTGTCACATTCATTAATTCGAAAACCATTTGATAACATAACTTTGTCAAATTTTTCATGCCATTATTTTGGAGCTTGCTTTAACCCGTAAAGGGATTTTATTAAGCGACAAACTTTCCGTTCTTGTCTTGGAACAACAAAACCTTCAGGTTGTTCTAAATATATCTCTTCGTCCAGGTCGCCGTTTAAAAAGGCAGTTTTCACATCCATTTGATGTATTTCTAATCCATTCAATGCAGCTACCGCGATCAACATCCTGATGGATGTGATCCTTGTAACGAGTGAATAAGTATCGAAGTAATCGAAACCTTCACGTTGCCTGTAGCCTTTTACCACAAGCCTTGCTTTATATTTATCAATAGTGCCATTCTCTTTCATTTTTCTTTTGAACACCCACTTACTTCCTAACGGCTTATTGCCAGGAGGAAGATTTACCAGTTCCCAAGTGTGGTTGGACAAGATAGACTCTATCTCACTATTGATAGCCTCTTCCCAGAATGGTCCTTCCGGGGACGTTATAGCTTCCTTATACGTCCGAGGTTCATTTTCCAATAAGTATGTCATAAAATCAGGTCCAAAGGATGTGGCGATCTTTTGCCTCTTGCTACGTCTAGGTTCATCTTCTATGTCCTCTACGGTATCAGTATCAGTTGTAGCATCTCGAGGTATCTCAACCTGATCATCATCATTACCACTTGATTCATGTATTTTCTTATACGGAAATATGTCTTCAAAGAAAGTAACTTCCCTTGATTCAATCACCGTATTAATATGTATATCTGAGACATCAGATTTATACACTAGAAAACGATAAGCACTACTATTAAGTGCATAACCGATGAATACACAATCCACGGTTTTAGGTCCGATTCTTAACCTTTTAGGTTTAGGAACCGCAACCATAGCCAAACACCCCCACACTCTAAAGTATTTCAGGGATGGCTTCTTTCCTTTCCATATATCATATGGTATGCTTTTTATCTTTTTGTGGGGCTTTTGTTGCAGATCTAGCAAGTGTACTAGTCGTACAAGTAATAAAATGATGAGTAAAGATCGTTCCCACGAGGATTTGTGTCAAGCACTGACTAACCATGTGTACTTGAGTTGAATCAAACAAAAGTTCATAGATTGCATAGATTTCTTGTCACCAGAAACTACACTGAATTGAATTAAACTTGATAATTAAATAAAATGTAAATTATAATATAAACAAGTAGTCAGATGTCATTTTCCCTCAAACATGAATTTATAGATGAACCAATTTCCATTATGAATTATCTACTATGTGATGTTGATCAACCTTTTTCTTATGATCTCAAGATGTAATCCCTTACTACCCTGATAGACACATTAATCAGAAACCCCAATCCCTTGGTGATTCCTTTCTTAATACATGCATTAATTACTAAGGTCTTAAGATCACATCAGAATCCTAGCATCAATCCCTTGACTACTAGAACACTGATGATGAAGTTGTCAAAAATAGAGAAACAATGTAAACATGTCTGTTCTACAATATTCCTCAACATGAAGAATTAATCAAGACAACTTCATACAATCACATAATAGATAAACAAAACATCTAATTAACCATTCATAAATTCAAACTTGAGTTCCATTGAATCAGACTACAAAGGACTCTCCTAAGACATAATTGAAATACAAACAAGAGAAGAAAGATCAAACTCCATTGACATGATAGTTGAGTCTTCAATCTCCAAGTGCAATTACATAGGAAATACTAACTATTACAAGAACTAATCCTAAGAATTTGGAGATTCAGAGAAAATGAGGAGTCAGATCAGATCTATGAAAGACCTGATCTGATCTCCCTTCTCCTAGTGTGATGAGAAAAATCAGAATGAGATATGATGAATTGGATCTGATGATCTAGAATCTGTCAGAATATGAAGGCCCCTTGTCCTTTTATAATTTACAAATTACAACTGAAAACTGACATGGGCGCTAAAACTCTCATTTCTGGACGTTTTAGCGCTCAACCTTGACGGATGCCCAACTGCTTTTAACTGTCTTGGGCGCTAAAACGCTCAGTTTTGGGCGTTTTAGCGCC